AATCTTTGTGAGGCAGGTTCTCCAGGTTTCATATTGTTATATGCATTTTACAGATGAAGAAACTGTAAGAGTTAAGTATCTGTAAGTAGTTAAATAACTAGTCCTTGGTCATATAGTATCAGAGACAGGATGCCTATGTAGGTCTTTCTTGACACCAAGTCCATTGTTCTTTCCATTGAACCATCCTCCCTCTTGTAATGTAGCATATGTTTTCTCTCCAACTTGTTAACTCCTCAAGGGCAGGGAACATTTATTCTGATTTTCAGCCAGAAAATCTACTTTTAGAACACATAGCACAATATCTAATATGTAGCAATTATTTAACAAATATCTGTATATTGAATTTTATCCCTTCTTGGTAGCAATTTGCCCATTAACAAGAGCTTTTTAGAGATGGTACCTTAACCCAAAGAAACAATTTTAACTGTAGACATTTCAATCACTGCAAGAGGAAAACAAAAGAGAAAATTGAATCAAGTGGTTGTTTTGATGCTCTTGAAATTATAGCACATGGGGAAGCTAGGCCCTGGAGTCAGGAAGACCTGAGTTCAAATCCAACCTCAGACACTTAACACATACTAGCTGTATGACTTTGGGCAAATCACTTAACCCCATTGCCTAGCCAAAAAAAAAAAAGAAAGAAAGAAATTACAGCACATAAATGGTCTAGAGTGGCTTTTGTGATCCTCCATTACTCTATCCTACATTCTTTCCAGAACATCCATCTTCTTCTAGCCTTCTGATCCTACAGCATCCCTTTGCCATGCCAATTCTCCTCTCCTATTGGTGAGCTCCTCCCTGAGGCCTCCATTTTGGGGAGGTGAGTAAGCCAGTCGAATTTCATTCCCCTTTTGGCTCTGCTTTTAACTTTCTACACTTCAGCATCATACCCATGCTTGAGTACCTTCACCTTCCACATACAATTTTCAGATCCCTTTCGTGTACTGTCACTGATTAGAATGGAAGCTCCTTGAAGATGAGAGCTGCCTTTCTTTTTGTTTGTACTTGTATCCACAGCACTTCCACAGTGCCCCCAAACATCATGAATGTTTAGGAAATGATTGTTAATTGCTTGGGAATCTGCAGAGGAGGAAATATCCAGTCTTCATTTTTGCATTCCATATTTCTGAATGAGGGCTCAAGTTTAGTTCAGTTATTGTCGGCTCAATTATTGTTCACTAGTAGGACATATTGGAAAAATCTACCAGGCCAGACTTGGATTTTATTACCAACTCTGCCTCTGACTCCCTGTGTGACATTGGGTAAATCACTTAAAATTTCTGTGTCTTCATTTCCTAAACTATAAAATATGAGGGTAGAACTAGCATAATTCCAAGATCCTGCCTGCTCTAACATTGTACCATTACAATAAAAAAAAAAACTCAAGTAATTATGATGTAGATCAAGAAAACTTCCATTGCTGCCAAGGTAGACTAGATGACCTATTAGGTCCCACTTGCCACTAATTTTCGATTTGGTAAGCATCTAGATTAGAAGCATGATTCATGTCTATCATAGAGTAAAAAGAGAATATTAAAATATATGAATTACTTTGACCTAGACAGTTCTCTCGTCATGAATAAATTTGTCCCCTAGATGTAAACTGAATTATTCACTTGAGATGGAAAAGCCCTATTAGACCATCATCTCCAGAACTCGATGTAATACTGATTCACAACATGTTATTTGGCATGAGTCCAAGGGATACAGCTTTTCTCACTTACTAAGAAGTCTTAGTCTAATAAAACAGTCTGAGAGAGATTACTTTTTGTTTGAACATATCAGCTATGGGGAAGACAGGAAAGGGTAGAAAGCTACAGTTTTCCACCCATAGTTTTGAATTAATCATTTTTCATGAGTCAGTATGAATTTACTTCACTTCTTTGGAAAAAACAAAAGTTGTAACTCTTCAGTATCATAATGGTCTTTGTACTACTTAAGATGTTTGCGAATTTCTTTTGGAAACATGCTACCACAAAGAAATAACAAGGTAAATGGACACAAAAAGGACATCTGAAAGAAAATAATATAGTAAAAATAATATATCAGGTCCCATTTAGAATTGGAATCAAGCTCTGCTTTTTTGGCAGAAAAACAGAGTAATATAACAATGAACACAAAGAAGCCACTGTAGTCCAAGAAATGTTGGGAAAAGTTCCATGAATTTTCTGGAAGGATAGAGGAGACAGGACATGTATTAGAGCAGGAATAATACCCAAGTTTTCTTGCATCTGGTTTTCACTGAGATTCATTTAAAAAGAATAAAATTTCACTCTGAATCTATCTATATTCTGGCTATTTTCATCTAGCCCAATTTCTCCCTTTCCAGGATTCTTTTTTGTTCTTCTGAAATCTAATGAATTCTTTTCTGTTCCTCAAATAAGACATTCCATTGCCAGATTCTTTATATGACGTTCCACTCACTGGATGTCCCCATTCCCAGAATCCCCACCCTCCTCATCTGTGCCTCCTGGCTTCTCTGGTTTCCTTCAGGTTCCAGCTAAAATTCCGACTTCTTCAAGAAAATAAGCCTTTCCCAAAAATTCTTATTGCTAGTGCCTTTGCTCTAAGATCATGTACAATTTATCATGAAAATATCTTATTTGTACATAGTTGTTTGCATGTTGTCTCTTGCATTAGACTGTGAGCTCTTTGAGGACAGGGATTAGTTTTTTGTTTGTTTTGTTTTGCCTTTCTTTGTATCCCTGGTAATTAGCACAGTGCCTGGCACAAAATAAGCATATAATAATTGCTTGTTGAATTGACTTGCTCTATGTGATGCCACGATGTGGTGTATATATTACTTATGAATTAACACTTAGCAAAAACCACCCTGCATCTTATGATCCCATGACCTATTTGGTGATATGAGATTGGGGAAAAGGTATGGTGAATCAATAGAAAGATTACTGCATCGGGAATCAGGATGCATGTGGCAGTTAGGTGATTCAATGAGAGAGTGCTGGGCCTGAAGTCAGGAAGACCTGAGTTCAAATCCAGCCTCAGATACTTTCTAGCTATGTGACCCTGGTCAAGTCACTTAACTTCTGTCTGCCTCAGTTTTCTTAACTACAAAATGGAGATAATAATAGCACCTACCTCCCAGGGTTGTTGTGAGAATCAAATGAGATAATATTCATAATGTGCTTAGCACAGTACCTGGCACATAGTAGATACTCAATAATAATGTTGGTTTCCTTCTTTTTTTTTTTTTGGCTAGGCAATGGGGTTAAGTGACTTGCCCAGGGTCACACAGCTAGTAAATGTTATGTGTCTGAGGCCGCATTTGAACTCAGGTCCTCCCGAATCCAGGGCAAGTGCTCTATCCATTGTACCACCTAGCTGCCCCGGTTTCTCTCCTTCTTCCAGCTCTGTTACTAGCTTGCTGCATGACCTGAACAAGGCATTCATTCCTCTGAGACTCACTTCTATACTTCATCTCAAAGGTTCCTTCCAAATTGATTGAGGAGGGTTGGAGGAGAGGAAAGGTCCTGGGGTATGTTGCCATTTAGGCCTGTGGATACAGTGTGGCTAACTTATCTCAACTGTAGCAGGGGTTGGATCAGGGCATAACAAATGGAGCCTACATAGTGCTGAACTCAACTTCCCCCGCAGTTTCAACAAAATGTATCTCATCTGTAGCCTATGCTCAGATAAAGAAGCACAAAGCAGAAGCGGCACCCAAGGGCCCGAGTGCCAGGATCGCGATCCCCGAGGTAGAACAGGCTTTAGCTACCACGTGTGAGGAGCTGGTTACAGAAGTTGTTTTCCCTTTTAAGTCTGCTGAGTGAGCAGACTTTCTTGCCCAGTGAACACTAAAAGAGTTGCCTGGCCATTTCAAAGGGTAAATCCTTCAGCACTTCCACAAAGTCGCTGGAAATGCCCAGGGGACTTCCCCTCAGCTCTACTCATGCTCCGTGGGATATGTTCCAGTCTACCCCATTACACTAAGCAAGGAGGGACCTTAACACTCATCTAACTCCCACTGTACTAATAATCATTCCAGGAGAGTTACTCAAGAAAGATTTTCTCCCCTTTTTCTAGCTTAACCTGAGGCAGTGGTCTGTATAATGGACATAACTGGAGTCAGTAAGACCTCCATATACGACCTGCTTAGGTTTGCGATCTTGAACAAGGAATTCAACTTCTGTTTGCTTCAAGCAACTCCCTAGACCTCTCCACAAGCAAAACCATAACAAACCTCTAACATTGTAGGTACAAAGTTACAGACAGGGTGTCTGACATCCTTTGTTGTCTGTGGTCAAGTCATTTTAGTTGTGTCTGACTGTTCTTGGGGTTTTCTTGGCAAAGATACGGGAGTAGTTTTTCATTTCTTTCTCCAGCTTATTTTACAGAAGAGAAACTGAGGCAAACAGGATTAAGTGACTTGCCCAGTGTCACACAGCTGCTAAGTGACTAAAACCAGATTTGAACTCAGGAAAATGAGTCTTCCTTAACCCAGGCCTGGTGCTCTATCCACTGTGTCATCTAGCCTGTCCTTCTCAAGAAGGATTTCCCACATTAAGCAAATCATAGATTTTCATATGTTCTAACTCAACAAGAATGTTTATGCTCTATTAAATTGGGAGAGAAAACAAAAAACAAACAGTGATGGGCAGGTAATGTGGTATATTGGAAAGAACAATGGCTGTGAAGTCAGAAAAGTTAGATTCGCATCCTGCCACGTTTGCTACATGAGTTATTTCACTGGGCTTATTCAACATCTGGCTCTGCTAATAACAACCTGTATAAACTTGGAAAAGGTGGTTTCACCTTTCTGCCTCCAGGTCTTTCTGGATTAAATGAGTAGCTTGTACTACATGACCACTAATCCAAGTTGTTTTCCAGTGCTAAAAACTTATAGCCTTTAAGAAAAGATGTAAGCATAAACAGATGTAGAATGAAGTAAGTGGAGTTAGAGAACAATACGCACAATGACAACAATGATGTAACTGGAAAGAACCACCACTATGGAAACAATGGAAAGAGAAAGTTACAGCATTACAAAGAACCAGTATGGCCCCAAAGAAGATATGTGAGAAGATGCTTCCTCCAGTCCTTTACAGAGGTTCATAGGTATAGAACATTGCATATATTTTTCAAACTTGTTGATATATTAATTTTTTTCTCTTTCTATTTTTCTTTTTGCTTCTTTAAAATATATATTCTTTGAAATATAGGATGGTTCTCTAGGAGTGGGAGGGAGGGGAATACTGGGAGAAATTTAGGAGATGTGAAAACAAGAGATATTAATAACAATTTATTTTTTTAAAGGGAAAAGAAAATAAGATCTCCTGACAGAAAGGTGATGAACTAAATGTGCAGAATGAGAGACACATTTTTTAATATGGCCAATACGAGGATTTGTTTTTCTTGATTATGTATATTTCTGTTTTTCTTCTTTCTTTTCTAAAGGGGGGAGGTAAAAGGGAGAGAAAACAAATGCTTGCTAATTGAAAAAATAATTTTAAAAGTGAAGAAAAAAATG